CCCTATATTCTCCCACGGGGGCCTTGGCAAGCGAATGATCAAGGGACAGTAATAATCCCTCTTTGAAGACATTCTGACCTGCATTGCTTCAACAGAAACTCGATAGTGTGCAGCAGACCACAGCTGCAGCGAAACTGGCCACTGATTCCATCCAGGCCGACCTTCGTACCGAGAAGATCGAGCGCTGGCTTCGACCCTCTGATCCGTCTACAAACGCCAACCACGCGAGGGAGCTCCGCCATGAGGGGACAGGTGCGTGGCTCTTGGAAAGTCCGGTCTTCCAAGAGTGGCACTCGGGGTCGCGTCGATATTTATGGCTGCATGGGCTCGCGGGATGTGGAAAGACGGTTCTCAGTGCGACTGTGCTGGATCATCTCGCAAAGGGAAACGACCGTCGTATCCTCAGCTTCTTCTTTGACTTTAGCGACACGGCAAAGCAGACCGTGGATGCCATGCTGCGGTCACTTGCTTTCCAACTCTACCGAGGCAGGGCTGGTTCTGCAGGTGTTCTTGACGCCTCATTCCAAGCACACCAGGATGGCCGTGACCAACTTGCAACGAAGACGCTCTCAGATGTTCTATTCAAGATGCTCGCAGTCCAGAAGAAAGTCTCTATCGTTCTGGATGCCTTAGACGAGTCGAGAACGAGGGCCGACCTACTCCTCTGGATTAAGGACGTAGTGTCCAGGCCAGAGCTGGGCCACGTCCAGCTGATCTGTACCGGTCGGCCTGAAGCCGAGTTCCTGCGCGACATCCCCTCGTTGATAGGCGAGGGAAACAGCTTAGAACTCAACAAGCAGGCTGTCAACGCCGACATCCGATCATACGTCGCAGCACAGCTTTCGCAACGACGCGAATTTCGGGACAAGCCCTTGTCGCAGGATCTCCTCGAGCTGATCCAGAGTAAGGTTGGAGACGGGGCCGGCGGGATGTGAGATATCACTGCTTCGATCGATATACTGATAGTTTGCTGGCACGGTGCTTAGGTTCAGGTGAGCGTTCTGTCAATTGGATAGCCTAGCTCGATGTCGTCATGAAGCAGCTATTGAGGAGGCTCTCGCATCTTTGCCGCGGACCCTGGAAGACACGTACCGACGCATGATTGAATGCATACCGATGGAGCTTAAAAACGACGCGATGCGGCTCCTGCAGTTTCTAGTGCATTCGACGCGATGCGGCTCCTGCAGTTTCTAGTGCATTCGACGCGACCTCTCAAGCTGGCCGAGACTAAAGAAGTAATAGCAACGCAGATCGAAAACGAGCCGCGAGGGTTTGACGTCAAGCGTCGACTGTTTTGCGATACTGATGTTTTGGACTACTGTCCTAGCTTAGTGACAGTCGTTCACGCCGCCGGCAAGGAGCTACATCTTGTCCACTTTTCTGTCAAAGAGTACCTTCTCAGAGACGAGCGGTTCAACATTACGATTGCTAGCATTCCCATTGCGAGGACGTGCTTGACTTATCTTACGGACATAAACGGTAACCACGAAGAGATTAAGCGGGATTTTCCAATGGCAAGATTTGCGGCGGAAGTCTGGACATACTATGCCACGTTCGCTCAGGCTTCGGAAAATATGGTTCAAACAACTGTTAGGTTCCTAGAAGAGGAAGTGACGTTTCAGCGGTGGGCTCGTTTGTATCAGTCTGATAGGGCCTGGGACGATGACCCAGGTCCTCCACTAGGTTCCAGGCTCTATTATGCTTGCTTCGCTGGGCTCGTGACACCTGCACAAATTCTTATCAGCAAAGGAGCGGACGTCAACGGGCAGGGCGGCTTCTACGGCAACGCTCTCCAAGCCGCCTCATCGAGAGGCGAGCAAGAGATTGCCAAACTGCTCTTGGACAAGGGAGCAAACGTCAACGCGCACGGCGGCTTCTACGGCAACGCTCTCCAAGCTGCCTCATCGGAAGGCCATCAAGAGATTGTCAAACTGTTTGAAAAAAGGGGCGGTATGACACCGTCTTTGAAGCGCTCCATCTCTAGAATTCCAGGCAACCTGAAAAAAAAAACTTCGTCCTATGATCCCTGAACCAGTCGATCAAATGGCCAATCGAGAGTAGAAGCTCGTTGCGATGCGTCTTGGGTTCTGGTCCTAGATTTTCGATCACCCAGGTGGAAATGGGGAAGTCTGTAGGATAGCCGCCATCTCCTGTTGATACCTCTTGTGCAAGAAGCCTTCGTCCCAAGAAGGGAATCAGTTTGTACGCGGGCTAAACCGGGACCTTCAGTATGAGCAGCTTCCACTGGCCGTGTTCGTAGGAAATACAAAGCTGAGGTCAATAGGAGTAGGCTCTTATTGAGCTTAAAGTTGCTGTAGATAGCGAGCTTGGTCTCAGCTAACTATCGCATTTCAGCCACACATGACACTCCAGGTGGGGAACGACGGCGGCGTTGGGGCGAACGTCGAGAGCATCGATCTTCAGGAGCATTACAAAGCCTTCCTGGATGTCCTATCCGCGGTCCGACGTAGCGAAATCAAGGATATGAAGAGGCGAGGGCAGTTGACCCAAGCCAGGACGACAACAATGCTGCCCAGCGTGGTCGCCATTTCTATACCATGCTGCAGGATCTCCGAGATTCCCCTTTCCGCGGCATGGGACTGCCCAGTCGGGAGGAGATTGACGCGGTATTGAAGGTCCAGAAGAAAGAGGACAGCAGCGTGGCGGCGAAGATCCAAGGCAAGCAAACGAATCCGTCTTCTGCGCATTCTGGCGAGCCCCACGGGAGCCCACCGTGGGCCGTTCGCGGAGGCGAAGGATCAGCAGATGGGGCCGGTCCGGGCGGACAGATGCGGCTGGAACTCGGCCGTTATGCAACACACGTCGATGCGGCCTTGGGCCTCACAAGGCACTGGACTCTGAACAAGCTCCAGTCGATGGCAGTCTTACTACCAGCGGCGTCCCTCGACGAGCGCGGCACGCGGCTGCAAGAAGAGGGGGGTCGGCAGCACTTCCAGTACGTCGGCGGTGAAGGCGGCACACGCAAGTCCGTTGTCATCCACGCCATCAAGGACATGTTCCGGCTGAAAAGTGGCCTCCACACGCTGCTCCTAACGAGCGCCAGCGGCAACGCGGCGGCGCTGATCGGCGGGGTGACGCTGCACTCGGCGACGAACATTGGATTCGAGGGCAAGAACGAGGTGGCAAGGAACGTTTCGGAAGAAGAGAAGCTGCGTTGGAAAAATATGGTCATGTTGATCGTCGACGAGATCAGCCGGGTGGGCGGACTCACGCTCGCGGCGCTAGGCAGCCGTCTGCGGCAGTACAGGGATGATCAGCATCGACCGTTTGGCGGGATGATCGGGATCCCAATGGTCATGTTCTCTGGTGACCTCTTCCAGTTCGACCCCGCCCTGCAGACCAGCCTCCTCTTGCCAACACCTAGGGACCGCGGCGGACAGAGACCAGAGAGCACTGCAAGGCACCTAGCTGCGCATAAGCTGTTCCTCCAGTTCACGGCCGTCGTCATCCTCCGCGAGCAGGTCCGCGCGGCCGGCTGTCCAAGGCTGCGGGGCTTCCTCCGGCGCCTGCGCAATGGCGAGCAGACCGAGCTGGACTTTCAGCGGCTATGCCACCGCCTCTATACACCGTCGTGCAAGTCCTCCTTCGTAGATGGCCTCAGAGCCATCACGCCCCTGAACCAAGACCGGTGGGACCTCAACATGGCAGCCGTCGTCCAGTGGGCTCGTGCCCACGGCAAGCACATCTCAGTCTTTGCGGCCAAGCATGACACTGAGTCGGGGAAACGATTGAGTACGCAAGAGCTATGCCACGTGCTCCGCCACGGAGACGACTCGCAACTGCCGACCCTAATTAGGTACTAATCCACCGCGTAGGAACGTATCTCAAATGCGAAAGTTCAGAAAACAACACCGTTTACTTCTTTACCAGGTGGCAGACACACTGAAAGGGGTATCGATGGAGGAGTTGGAGACTATCTAACCGTTCACGCTACCGCCGTGGGAGGAACGTATACTAACTATGTATTACAGACGACTTGACAGCGGTACAGCGGAATGCTAACCACGATGTACGTATCGCCGTAAGTAACTCGGCGTAGAAAGGTGCACCAGGCTTGGCTTTCATGTCTGGTCAAGCATCACCAGGGGCTAGCGCCGCCTCCTCTGCCCGCCTGACCATCTCTGAATTCTTCGCCCGATGTGCCCGCATGGCCATTTGCCAATTATTCGCCCTCACATGTAAACCACTGCGGCGCGATTGGAGTCACTCAAGCAGTTCCGAGTCTAGGACGGAGCCCCGATCCATCCAGCGGTCGGAAAGGTTTAAATCAAGGGATGCCCAATCCTGAAAACCTTTAAAGCCTAGCTCAAAGCGTAGCTCCCATCTTCTTCTCTGCACATAATACCCTGGGGGGTCCCATGTTTCCTCCACATGCGTCCAGCGTCTGTGCAGCTTTGCTTCAAAATCCCAAAATTCACGCCGGTTGACTTCACGCCGGTTGACTTCACAACGGTCCACGTATTTTTGGGACTCTATACGGTCGGGGCGATAACGATAGTCAAGGACCCTCTCGATCACGCACAAGTCTTTGACGCTTGTATGAATATGAACATAAACACGCTTGGTCTTTGTCGGAATCATCACGGAGCCCTTGTACCTACGGCTAACCCTATACGTGGCCATCGTACCGTTGCTGGGGCTGCAATCTAGCTCGGCACACTCGGTATGGGATCCAATCCGCTTCTCGATCGCGGCGACGTCCGCCAGGTCCCACACTGGTACATCCCCCATGTTGTTGTCAGGGTCCTCCAGTATCGGATAAAAAAGTTCCAGGGCGGACCGGATCGCCTCCTCCCGACCGTTCACGACCACAAGGAGCAGCTTCCGAAGCGAAATCGGTAGTACAATACCGGGGTCGTCCGTGACAGCGAGCAAGGCGTTGAGTTGTGGCTCTGTGATTTCGTGAATAAGCCTCCGGACCTTATACTCCAGCAGCCCTACGGCCCCTAACCGCCAGAGAAAATTCAGTCCCTGCAGCGTGTGGACGTGGTCGTCTTTGCTGTGGGCATATATAGCCTGCTCCGGCCACTCGATCTCGTGCACCCATAACAAATGCGTTCCATCATACTTTTCGGCCGCCGGTGTCTTATCCGGATACAAATCGCCATTAATCATTGCATCGCCAATATCGCCAGTCTCGAAAGCAGCACAATCTTTTGCGGCGCGAGTTGCAAAGGGTTAGGGTGAGTAAAATATTGGAGGGGAAGGCCACGATGATGATGATGATGCGGACAAGAGGGGCGCTTTCACATGCAAATCCACTGCCTGCACAACCTGGAACCCCTGCGTCATTCCCCGCGGGGACGTCACAACCCCCAGCATGCCCAGCCCGCCAATCCTTCTCCCTGTTACAGGGTTTGAGCCGACAAGTGCCGTCTCCACGGCTTCCACAAGTCTTAGCCGAACCTCTCCCGTCTCGACGCCGCTCCAGTTCCTAACAACAATCTCATTTCCAATATCCCTTCTCCAGGTCTCTCGGCCCTCTCCGATCCTTGATGCATACCTCGATGCGGTAGAATCCTCTGTCCGACCTCCTTTGCACGCAGTGCACCCATCGAGCGAAGCGTCGCGCGCCCACTCACCCAATCCCGCCTGCCCGCCCGCGTCGCCGAATTGCCGAGGCACCATGTCGGCCGCCGCCCTGGAGAGCCTCAAGGTGCGATTTGGCCAAAGGCTATCGAGAAACACATTCTGACCGCGCGCAAAACCCAGGCTATCGCCGAGCGTATCGTCCTCGACCCGAAATACCACTCCCTGCTCGCCGTCGTCAAAGGCGCGCGTAATGGCACCGTCTACGGTACCAAAGTGCGGTTTCCGCATGCGCTCGTGTATGGAGAAGCCACCACACGATACCCGACCCCATGTGCGACGCAGATGCTGACGCGAGAGAATACAGGATGATGATGCTCTTCCGCTCCGGGACGTATGTCAGCCCCTACTCTGCCTGCCCTGCCCTGCTCAACCCTCCTCACCGAACCGCAAAACTGACCTCCCCCGTCTCGTCCAGCCTCCGCGAAAAAGCACAGCTCATCTTCCGCGCGACAAGCATGCACGCCTGCAACCTGGCCCGGTTCGCCACCATCTACAAACTCGCCTGCCTGTTCCTCAAGCACTACGTCGCGACACCAGGCAAAGAAGGCAAGCACCCCACCCACAATCCCCTCCCAAACCCCAAAACTAACATCCTCTCCCCCCATCCAGGCCCCTACGACAGCTTCTTCGCCGGCCTCCTCGGCGGGTACGTCGTCTTCGGGGGCCGGTCGCCGCGCTCGGGCAAAGTCCCCAGCGTCAACCAGCAGATCGTCATCTACGTCTTCGCGCGCGTGGTGCTGGCGCTGGCGCGGCTGGCCGTGAAGCCCGGCGTCGGGCTGCCCGTGGTGTCGGCGCCCGAGACGAGCGCGGCCATCTCCGCCGCGGCCTGGCCGCTGTTTGCGAGCGCGTCGTGGGCGCTGGTCATGCATCTTTTTAGGTGGCATCCCATGGAGCTGCAGGGCAGTTTGAGGAGTAGTATGACGTATATTTATAGTGATTCTGAGAGGTGGGAGGGGTTGAGGACGTTGTTGTGGCATAATGTGTGAGGGGTGGAGCGGTTGGGGGGAGTGGGGGGAGTGGGGGGATGGTTGTTGGGGGGGGATGCGTGGTTGGAAACATTTGCTGGCGTTTGGGGGGGACGGTTAGATCTCGTTTTTTTCTTCTTTGTTTTTTTCTTAAGCGTTTGGTTTTGTTGTTGCCCTGGATCGGCGAGTGGGTGACTCTCGGGCGCATGTATATATATATACTTTACATAAAGGCATGGGTCGTTGCACTAGACTGGCACGGGGTGGTTGGGCATGGTGAGCGTCACGGGTTGGGAAGGCCTAAAGTCGTCACGAACAGGGTTACTCAACCCCAAGTCGCGGGTTATGGATAACGGTAGAACATAAACCACACTGTTTTGGTGAACCGGGTCGCGTGTGAGTTGGCCCAATGGGCGCACCGTGTCACTCGTGTAATAAAAGCAAAGTTTGGGCAGCCATTTCTGACGAGGACCACCGCCTAACTGGGTAGCTCAGCGGTTAGGCGGTGGCCCTCGGCCTACGGGTCAGCTAGTTCACCATCCTCAAAATCCCGGCCGTAAGGGGAGGTTATAGGTTCGAATCATGATGCTACCGTGGGTTCCTCTGGGAGGTATCGGGGCGCCGATAGAGTCCTCCACTTCAGAAATAATCTCGCAGCTTGCATCGGCCCGACGGGCATCACCGGGCTGCAACTGGGCACATGGAGTAAACCCCCCAAGGGGTTTCGTAGCCGGCTAGCTCCCTTCGGGGGGCTAGCCGGTGAGCTTTTGCTTTTTGGAGAGACTAAAATCAAATGACTTTTTGGAGTTCCCCCCTCTTAGCTAAATACCTATCTAAGCGTTCTTGATGGAGTTGTTTATACATGTAGGTACCTAAGGTACCTACTCTCCTTAGCTTGATACTTTCTACCTAGAGGGACTTAACTTGCTTTATAGATACAATGTTACCTACGTTCATTGTCTTCTTTCCTGAGATCTTCCTCTTCTATACTCGAAAGCTCAACACAATGAAAGTCCACTTGTGCCGTGGCCCCCAAATTTCCTCAGCCTAGGTCTTGGTCGCCCGTGTCAGCCTGCATGATGTGCATCCCCCAGACCCGCTACCCCTCAATGCTCCGCCACTATTGACGCCAACTTAAATCAAGGGATAGTGCCATAGTGGTTCAGCAACTACACCTCACCACAGAGACGTGCCAACACACTCAAATTAACATGAACGCAAGGAAACCAGCCACGCGACCACACCTCAACCATGCCGCTCTGCCAACGCTGCGCTCCTCTTACAGTCAACAAGCTACTCGAAAATGACGTCCTCTTCCACGCCGACATGGGCGCCCTGAAAGCAAGCGCAGAGCGAGGCTGCGAATTTTGCTTACTGTGCTGGGACGCTGTGCACACCACGCAAGAACCCCGAGTGGCCAAGCTTGTTCGGGGCGAATCTGCCTGGCTGGAGGGGGAGTCGTGGACTCCGACCGTCTGGCTCCGCGGCGTCAACCTTTACCACCGCGGCGACGCCGGCGCGAAGGTTGAGATCACCTGCGGAAAGCTCCGCGAGGGAGGATTGGGGGAGCCCGAGCCGGGGTCGGACTACAATCCATTACCATCGGTACGAGGGACTATCGAGGTATACGAGTATGATCTGTGCCACACATCACATATGTACTTGTTGCTTCACTTGAAAAACTGACGTTCCTGTGGGAAGACTTCCAGGTAAACCTTCTATGTTTCGACTCCGCGGGCGCCGCAGCACCGCCGACTGCAACCCGGAGTTGTAACATCCCCCTTGAATTCGAGACTGGTTGACCCTACTGCTGCGAGAATCACCCACTTTGCGGTGGCAACACCCCCCTTGATATGCCCACAAGGGTCATCGATGTCGGCGAACATGGCGCCCCGACTACACCTGTGCGTCTAGTGACCACGAACGGGCTGCGCGAGCGCTACATAGCACTATCGTACTGCTGGGGGGTAGACACCTCCGGTGTTCTCACTCTCAACGCCAACACTCACACGGCCTTGGTTCAGGGCGTGCCGGAAACGCAACTGGCCAAGACGCACAGGGAGGTGGTATCCCTGGCTCGTGCGCTCGGCGTCCGCTATGTATGGGTGGACGCGCTGTGCATCATCCAGGGCGACGTCAAGGACTGGGAACGGGAGTCCAAGCGCATGGCTGAGGCGTACGGCAACGCGACCCTGACCGTCATCGCGGGGCGGTCCGCGGCGTCAAAGGACGGCTTCATCACCAACGACTCTTTCCGTAAGGAGCGCCGGCCGAGCCCTTGCGTGCTGCCGGTAGATGGCTCGGTCGATGCCGGTGTGCTGGCCGTCGGGCCCTTCCGCTCCGATTCCTACGGGCCCGTGTCCGGGCGGGGATGGTGTTTCCAGGAGAAGATGCTGTCCCGGCGGGCTGTGGTGTTTGCAGAGCAGCAACTTGGTTTTTATTGCGCGGTGGAGGGAGTGTGGGAGAACGGCGTGGCTAAACCAAATCTCTGGCGTCCAAGGTTCCTCCAGCGGCCGGTATCGTCGACGGCTACCACCAGTAGCAGCGAAACCCCAAAACGGCCTGCCCACCTTAGTGCCCAGGACGAGATCCTCAGAAGTTGGTATGGACTCCTAACCCAATTCTCCGCATGCCAGTTGTCCAACCCGCACGACGTCTTCGCGGCCATCATCGCCGTCGCGCAGCAGGCCTCCCGCGTTCTCAACTCGCGATATCTCGCCGGGATATGGGAATGCGATCTCGTGCGCGGCTTGCTCTGGAGGCCGGCCCATCATTTCCGAACCGAAGTTGCCATGAAAACACCGACAACACGTCCCAAGCCGTCCAAGCTCACGGGAACGGGCCCCGTCATCCGCGCGCCCTCGTGGTCGTGGGCCGCAGTAGAAGGGCCTATATCCTTACCTTTGGGGTCCCTCGGGTTCACCCCGGGCGTGGTGGCAAGGCAGCGCGACCCGGCATACCCAAAGATCCGCCCGAAGCAGTCGAACCCCGTACGGTGGTCGCTCGATAATAAGTGTGGTATTGACGCCATGCATATGCCGGCATGTGAGCTGCAGCTGGTGGGTCATGTAGCCAAGGTCCGGGTACTTACAGAGTCGGTACTCGGCTATATTGACGCGAGGATGCGCCACAGGAATATCAGGCGGGCGGGGGCGGTGGCAAACGGGGTACTGCTTGCTGAGCCGACCCCGTCTGGTGTTACGGTAGGGGGTGAACCCTGGGATCAGGTTGTCGGCCTGGCATTCTTCGATGTTAAGGAGGAGAGAAAAGGGTTTGACTTCGCCTGGTGTCTCCCAGTTGTGCCGGACTTGGGACTTTTGTTAGAGAGGAAGCTAGATGGCAAGTTTAGCCGTCTGGGCTTTGTTTACATTCAGAAGTTGAGACTGGTTTCTTCAGCAGGTGGAAGGGGACATCTGTTTATGCTAGACTACCGAGTACATAGGTATCTATAAGCTAGTAGGAAGTGCTGGTTTCTTGGACAATCAAGATGGTAGAAACCTTTCAGGAGTTGTATATAGTTTCTACTCCTCACTGATCTAGGTAATTGGCCGGCTTGATGGATCGGTATCTGTGTTCCCCTCAAGGTTTCACTTTTTCGCGTCGACTCCATCATCCTTCATGTTATTATATCCGACCCTAGATAGGTACCTAGGCTCCCAGTTATAACTCTATCGCCAACGACCTCACGCAGTTATTCTAGCTCGTCGATTGTACATTTATTATTTGATGTAGTTAGGTATGAATGAAACACCCATTATTCCTCCCTAGGTACCTACTTAGCGATAAAGACGAATCAAACGATGATTGCTTCCGAACACGCACAGATAGGTACCTTGGTCTTCGATTTGACTCACAAAGCAACATTATCGCAGGCAACCTTCCATGATTCTACCCTACCTGTATAGGTTGTCATTTTCATTCCATGATTCATGTAACTCTTTCGGGGATCCTGCTGCCTGCATGCTGTTCCCGAGAATTAGTCCCTTGGCTCATGTGTCTGTAGTGTACCTAAGGTAAGGTACCTACCTAGTCGGGTCACTCGGGTGTGCCTGGAGGGTGCCTGTCTTGGGCTGACTGTTTCTATCTGCAACAGACAACAAACTCCCCAAAACAAACCCCTTCCCCCTAAAATGGCGTGGCACTCGATGACAAGTGGTCGCGCATCGTCATGGTGCCCTCCGAGACCCTCCAAGTGTCCGAGTCCACAAACCTGCGAACCACGCCCCGCCCTGTGTTGTCACTGGCGTGTAAAGCTGCCCAACGAATGGCAATTTGGGCAACCGTCATCGTCCGAACCACTGTCCGAGCGCAGCGTTGAGCCACAAAGTCGCGTCATACCTGTTTCTCTTTAGTCTCTATCTGCGGCCACATTTACAGGCCCGAATTCATTATCTCGGCGATGAACATTGAAGACATCTTCGACTTCCCGGCCCGCGCAGCTTCTCCCCTCGCTCGACGCGACTCTACTCTACTCCCCATATTAAACCCCAGAATGAGACAGCGCATCTCTCCCCTCTGTTACAAACCCCCATTACTCGCTCTATACCAATTAACACGGTCTTCCCCGAACCCACACCACCCTCAACCAGCATCTTACCATAAGACCATCCCCTTGTTACTACTCGCACACCCAAACCCACACACAACCCACAACCATTGATCACCACGACCACCACCATGGAACCCACCGCCCACTGCACCATCTGCACGACCCCCCTCTCCCCCACCCGCACCCACCCGACCTTCCCCTGCAGCCACACGCACTGCCTCCCCTGCCTCCGCCGCAACTTCACCCTCAGTACCGGCACCACCCCCGGAACCTTCCGCCCCGTGCAATGCTGTCCCGGCGCGCGCCTGCCCCTCCGCGAGCTGCGCGCCCACCTGCACCTGCAGTCGGCGGAAACAGCCGCCTACCGCGCGCGCCTGGCCGAGCACGACGCCGCGGAGAAGCTGTATTGCGCGGTGGCCGGGTGTGGGCGGTTCATCCCCGTGGCGCTGCGCGATGGGAGGAGTGGAAGGTGTAGGGGGTGTCATGGGCGGACTTGTGTGCGGTGTGGGGGGAGGGCGCATGTGGGTATGGGGGTTTGTGATGGGGTGGCTAGGGGGGGTGGGAGTGGGGGGGAGAGGGCGAAGGAGGAGCTGGAGGCTGAGATGGGGTTTCGGAGGGTGGTGAGGGAGATGGGTTGGTATGTGCTACTACTACTACTACTACCGCGCTGCTTGGTTTGGCGAGCGCTTTCTCTGTATTGAGTGTGAGATGCTGACTTGGTGATAGGAAACGCTGTCCGGCGTGTAAGCGGTGGGTAGAAAAAACGGAGGGGTGTAACCATATCCTGTGAGTCAAGTTGCTTTAGTATCTATGATGGGTGTTGTGGCGCTGATATAACTAACAACAACAGCTGCGTTTGCGGGTGTCATTTCTGTTATCGTTGCGGACGAGCGCCGTATGGATACCACGGCGATGATTGCGCCATGTAACCAAGGGCAGTGGGCTTGATCTGGGACGGGATCTGGGATGGCAGTCTCCTTTCTTCATCTCACACCATTTCTTTTGTTGCTTCGTTTTGGACAGGCGGCGTTGGGCAGATCATATACCTGGTGCTGTGGCTCCTCGAAATCAGTCGACAGCGGTACTCATCTTTAGGCGTTAAGGAACGGGGTCTGTACGACCAACTTTCATTTGTCATCACAGAAGAGAGATGGTTTCCGGGGAGGGGCTCTTTTATCTGGGCGGAGATTTTATGCCAATGGTGAGGATGGCCATCTTCTACCTGGCCATATGACAAAAGGGTTTGTGCCTAATCGAATGATATCAGCCATTCGGGGTGAGGTAACATCATCCAGGAAGTAGCTGCAGTTATTGTGTTATATCCCCTACTGGTGTTATCCCCCCCTTACGGATCAGTGATGATACGTACCTAGGTACCTACGATGTTTGTGTGCCCGAAACCTGGAGACCTCTGTGCTCGGCAGCCCCCAACCCTGACTCCTTAGAGCCGAAGACAAGGTCCGTATGAGCTATGGGAGCACGGGCAAGTTTAGAAACATAAAAGCTCGTACGGAATTAGCGATGCGGGAACAAGTGTAAGTGCTCGTAAATCGATTCATTCCGTCATCGTCCGCATGGAAGCGCGCTAGCGTCGGGTCTAGGATTTCTGTCATGGTTGAGTTGGTGTAATTTTGGAATGGGTGCTGGGCTGGTTGCATACCATTCGGAATGAATATCACCGGAACAAGATCTTCACTGCTTCTGAGGTAGCCCAGAAAAGACGTCGACTCTTTGACGTCCTAATCTGGCTACTTTTGAACTTCACACCTGCATCTTACCAAAGTTAGAAGATTATACTCTTCGGAGATGATGGACAAGACTGGGGCTAGGGCACGATATAAGCATTTTGACGAGGGTATCCGGCAGCCTTTAGCTTCGTACCACACTCCAGAATCGCCCTGGAAAACTCGGACTTGATTTCAGGATACGGCACGCCGTCGGTCATGAAGAAGATAACCAACGGCCTTCGGAATGTGCGGCCTTTGATGTTGTGGTATACCAGGGCCGAAGAACCTTACACGTATCAAGTCAATCCCAGTGGTGCCAACAGGCCCCAACGACTTCCCTAAAATCATTGCCCGTATCCTCTCAAGAGTGAGATTTAACAACTGGAGGGATCCACATATTGGTTGAGAAGCGTAGGGCAACCCCTTCACTTTCCGGGAGAGGCTGGGTAGTGGTCCTGGTGATCTTTGGACGAGCGTCGTCTGGCTGTTCCAACGACCTTCTTGTCTCATTGACCCGCTGTCAGCTACCCCATTCGTTGATGTCTAAACTATCACAGCCATCAGCTCATGGTCGGCCCAGGACGTTTGGATCGATGCATGGACAAACGGAGACACCCCCTAACCATCGGGCTCAAGGGAGTGTCCCACAAGCTGGCACCGTAGGCGGGTTCGTAGTGTATCATAGAGGCGGCTCGGTCCAGGGATGGCATCAGTCCGCCACGGTCGTGAGTTTCCCACGGTGATTTCCCGGAGCCCGGTTCCGACTGGGCATAAAATGCCAGGCCAAGTGCCGTTCCCACTGTGTGTTGGTCCCTAATTATTAGCTGAGCTTCTTGTTCCTACCCCTCCCTGTTTCTACACATCATACGCACGGCGACACATCACGGCGGCAACCGAGTAAACCCGCGCACAGAGGCAGAAGAGCTCCCAAAAGCAATACATTTGTAGAAGATCACGTCAACCATCTCCAACACCAGACGCCATTCCCATGCCAGCTTCTGTAGTTACGCAGAACCACCCAGATATACTCAGCATCCAGCCCAGTCGTTATACCAAAAGAACGGCGTTCAAGCAGCCGTCGTTCTGGAAAATGGCGCGCGTTAGCAGATGGTTAGGTGAAAAAAGCGCCAGAGCTTACCTCGGGGTTGTTTGTGATCTGCGCGTAACGGCCCCAAGCAACCTTGCCCGAAGCTGTGACGATACCAAGATCCGAAACATTGACCTCGATGCTGCGCCTTGGTTAGTAAATGCCCATCCAGGGCTAGGAATAGAGAGGCATACATGGTTCCCTTGGTCAACACCCCAAGTTGCGTGTCTTGATCTCCGGTTAGTACACAAAACAAGGGAAGTGGACGGGTTCAGGGATCATACAACTAAAGAAAAAGGTTAGCCAACAAATCCGTCGAGGCTGTCACTCTACAACTTACAGAGGGTTGCTCGGGTTCTTCTTGACACCAAGAATAGGGAGCTGGACTGTAACATTGAGAGTCGGGTGGGTGACGTTGGCCTTCTTGTAACGCAGACCCATAGGCCGAATGAAGCCTGCATGTTGTCAGTCTCATTCCCACCAGCCTTCTTTGGCAGCCAAAACTCACGTTCGTATTTGACCGGCCGTCTGGTAAAGTCGGGCCCGACAAACGTAGGCTGTGACATTGGTCAGCATCAGATCTGCCGTCTTTTTGTCGCTCGATCAAGCCAACCTTTGTGACCACACGCTTCCACCCTATCGCAGAAATCGTTAGCATAAGCACCGGCAAACAACCCCCCGAAAAGCAACATACCCTTCTTTTGGACCTTCTGACCCGTCTTGACACTATACCACCGTCAGCCACACCTCCTCCCCCATTACACACCGAACCCCACCATCACGTACACTTTGAACAACTCCTCCTCGCTGATACCCCTGACCTTGGGAATAGGCACAGAGAAACGCGCCGCCTTCTCGGCGCGCTTGTTCTTGATCTGCGAGCTCAGGGCCTTGGCCGTGGTCGGGTTGGCGCGGTCGAGCAGGTAGGCGGGGATGGCCTCGGTGGGCTCCTTCTCGGCGGGGGCGCCCTTGACGTTGCGCTCCTCGTGCTGCTTGATGGCCTTGCGCATCTGGATCTTCTGCGCGTGCCGCTGCTTGGCGTACAGCTTGGCCCGCAGGCCGCGCAGGTTCTGCGCATTCTCGCTCTGCTTGTGGCCCTCGCGCGCCGCCTTCTTGCGCGTCCGCTCCTCGTGGTCCAGCCGCTTGCCGTGGAGCTTGCGGTGTCTCTCTGTGGGTTGGGTAGGCCTGGTTAGTCTCTGGAGAAGGAGGGGTCGTGCTCGGTCGGATTGTGCGAGGTGGAATGGGGGGTATAGGTCGACGTTGCTGGCTTAGGAAGGGGAGCATACCGATATACTCGTTCTGGGGCTGTAGTCGGTGCAAAACATGCGGTTAGCGAGGCGTTCTTGTCCAAGGGCGCATTCAACAGGGATGGGTTGCTGACCATGTTGGCTGCTGGTGCCCTCGGAAGGGACTGGAAGCTTTAGAGATAGACCACAATTGAACTTGGAAACCCCGATTCGCTGGGTTTACTAAAGGACCTTTGAGAATGGGGGGGTCTTAATTCAGCCACGCGATCTCAGCAAGGTCGGCCGATAAAAAAATCGAAGGGGCTTATCGGATTGCAAGTGGCAGGTTCATGGTGGGGCAAATGCAGGCGGTCCACATCACCCATTGGCCACCCAGCCCCATCTTATCAAAAAGCTGACCTCGACGGACATTCACACCCTCTGGCCAAAAAAAGCCGAACTCGAAAGGGGAGTAATAAATCAAGAAAAGAGAAGGCGAGTAGAGTAAACCGAACAACAAAAGGAATCATCAAATAAAGAACATCGAGTCGAATAAAATGTAGATTTTAGGTTTCCGAATCGCTTTCTTTTCGTTCCTCTGGTCGAAGGTTTCGCCGGCAGCTACACAGTACACTGAAGCTCGGCTTTTTTTGCATTCGTTCGTGGTGACCACCGGCCAGTCAGACGGCAAGTGGGGAGACGGGAGGTACCGAAGTAAGGCACCCGGGCAGGCCCGGCCGTGTATCGTGTAAGCCGGACCCCCGGCCCGGAGTGGAAAGCTGGAGTCGGTGGTGGTCAGCAGGAGTTGGTTGAAGCTCGCGCCAAAAAATAGGTAGAAACCATCAATAAACCGGAGCATTGCCAAAGGAGGCTCGGGACCGACTATGGCTAATGGACCTAAGTTATGGGATGCGATTTACACACTAAATGAATACATTTAAATACATTCGCTTGCTAGATATGGCCTGCACCACCCCACTCCCCGCCTATGGACTCCTTATGCTGATGCAGAATGTCGATGCTTGTCCCTCTAGTGATATTAACGCCGGGGCCTCCAGTAGTCGCCAGAAAACACCATCACCCAGTAGAAGATAAAATGCACCTGAACACGTTGTTCCTTGCGCCGCCCATTCCATACCTAGGTATCTTGCCAGTCAGTTCCAGATCCGGGTATCGCCGTCGACACAGTTAGCGACCAGCCTTGGACTTGGTGGCCTCGAGAAATCTACGCCTCCGTTCCTCTTTTTCTCGCTTCAACCGCTTCTCCAAAGCCTCCTGCTCGAGATCCTCGCGCCGGGCTTGGCGGTCAGCCAGCTGTTCCTCATCCTCAATATCTGATATGCCGGCCTCCATGTCGGACTCCTCTTCGTATGAGTCGTACCGGTACTGGCGAGCAGTGTTATAGCCAGGCGCCTCGTCCTCGTCCTCGTCATCGACGATGAAGTCGTCCATCTCGTCCTCTTCCTCGCGACGACTCCGCGAAGACGAGACGGGGCCACCGTATCGAGGTCGATCACGAGGCCGTCCTTCAGAGCTAGGGCGACTTGCTGCGCCGGATTTAGTGACAGTCGACGAGCCGGGCCGCGGTCGTGCGGTACCGGTGTATCCCGTTGTCGCCAGCGCCGCCTTCTTGACTTTCTTCTCTTCAGCTGGTGCCGTCTTCTTGGGATTTGCCGATCCGGAGAGACCGCCCCGCGCGCCAGGAGACTTTGCAACGTCTCGAAAAGACGCGCTTGTAGGGCCGGACCGCGCAGTCGTCGGTTTTCTCGTGCCTGTCTTTGACTTCCTTGCGTCTTCCACCTTCATTTCCTTACGTTCTTTCATTGTCATATTCCGTTCCACTGTCTTGTGCTGAATCTTTCCAAGAGACTCCCTATGCTCCGAGTTGGCCTTTGCACGCGCCATGATCTCCGCATAGGACCGCTTTTTCGGCGGACCAGAGTCTGTGGGGCTCGGCCGGTTGGGCGCCGGTCGAGAAGGCAACGGTTTGCTGCCATTTGAAGGCCTCGTCCCGGCACTCCCAGCTCGAACTTGATGCACATTCGGCTTGTCGGTCAAGGACCTCTTGTCCAAGGCAGGCTGTGGCTTCGAAATTGCCTTGTCGCTAGAACCGCCAAGTGGTCGATCCGCAGGGCGAGGAGATGGCCTTGGCGAGTTGCCGCTCGGCCTCGAGGACTTCTCCGATAACGAATCAACGCGAGCCACTTTGGTGCCTGCCGGCCGAATATCATCCTCCGCCTTGCGCTTTGGCAACGCCGTGCTCGGACGGGATGCCGGGGTCGAAGACGCTGACGGCTTCTCGCCGGTGATGGATGCGATCAAGTCGAGAATCTAGCGAGGCATCGGTCAGCATCAGTCACACGACAACACGAAATGCATCTGCGCTTACCGGCATCGTGACGGATGCGCCGTGGTGACGGGACCTAATTACCACGATTTGCGTAGACCCTCCCCAGCCTCACACGAAGTATTTCCGCCAAGGCATCGAGAACCAGCAAAATCAGCTTGCCAGCTTGTCACAAGTGTTATCAGCGTCTCCACTGGATTTTCCGGGACTGCTGTTAATCGTGTCGCTGTGGAAAAAAATCCAGGAAAATTCCGCTGTGATTTCCGAGGCGGGGGGAGGTGCTCGAGCGGCTTTTGTTGGCAGTGAACAAAGAAGTTTGCGTGCTCGACGGCGCCCTCAGCCTTCAAACGTTGGCCAGCAGCCGCCTTTTAACTTGGAGGGGGCGCCAAAGGACCCACATAAATCAGCCAGGCCGGGCCATGCGGGTCCAGGCGATGTCAACTCGGAGCCAGGTGCGACCGGTTCCGGGATTTGGCCAGATTAGGTAGGGGAGTGAACAGATGGACTGGACCCGAACAAGAGCAGCTTTCATTACGTCAGCCGCTGTTGTTCCTGCCCTATCGATGGGTCATGTGAGATATGGGCCCGAAAATTGTGGGGCTCACAACTACAGAATTGGAAAATAAATCGGCCCCAAGAACTTTCTCAGCAACCCGATATCACGACTAGAATTAAGAAGAGTCTTTCTCCGCCCAACTTGCGGTTAAAATTGATTGGCATCTCTTGTTCTCCAAACACCTCACAAGTGAGTCTTCCGATTTTACAGCCGCAACCGCACGAATTGAGGGCAAGCGCGCCGAGAGTGCGGGCTAACACTGACCGGGAACAGAACCGTCAAAATGAAGCACCTCGCCGCTTACCTTCTTCTCGGCCTCGGCGGCAACGCCTCCCCTTCGGCCGCCGATATCAAGGCCGTCCTCGAGTCCGTCGGCATTGAGGCTGACGACGAGCGTCTCGAGAAGCTCCTGTCCGAGCTCGAGGGCAAGGATATCAACGAGGTGCGCAAAATTCCTCGCTATCGAATGCAAAATGGACCAAAATTTGCTAACACAACGTGATGCAGCTGATTGCCGAGGGCTCTTCCAAGCTCGCCTCCGTCCCGTCGGGCGGTGGTGGTGGCGGTGCTGCCGCTGCTGGTGCCGCTGCCGGCGGTGCCGCTGAGGAGGCTCCCAAGGAGGAGGCTAAGGAAGAGGGTACGTACCACTACAGGCGCCATGACCTTAAGACTGTACTAACTTTCCCACAGAGAAGGAGGAGTCCGATGACGACATGGGCTTCGGTCTCTTCGACTAAGCAACTCGCCACAATCGCAATCAAATCGATCATGTGGTTATTTCCGAGGCAGGCCAGCCACACTTGCGCATACCTACGGCATTCCTGGAATTACCATGGAGTGTGTCGTGATGTTGGACTTGTGGAATATCCAAGCCCTTGGTACCACCAACGCGGGCTATCATCAGTATAGACTGGAGCAATACAGTGCGGCGGTCTCTTCGGATCTTTTGGGTTCTCTTGATGTGTAATTCTGTAAACTTGGGCCCACGGAGTGCGAGATGGGCCACCATGTTGCATGTGCGCCGGTGCTCACCATGTCTCCCGCTGCAGCGGTGCTTTCGGGTGGATGATTACAGGTGACGGGTGATGGATGACGGGTGGCTAGAAAATGCTGACGTCTTCCACTCCTGCACAAGATGCCAGGACGCTTTTTCCCGCTAGACTGACTCGTGCAGCAGCCAAATCCTTCGCAAATATGAATGCTGCAGCTGGTGCATGAAATGATACATTGCCTCAGACCAAATTGCCAAGTCTTGTCTGCATGAATGCAACGCGGCCAACGCGCTTTTTCTTTGATTAACTAACGATTTAAAGCGTCCAATTGGACCGTTGCCCGGTCAACGCGTCGGATGCCGCTCTTTCGACATGCAACGGCGGCCCACACGAGCAATTGGAGCAAATTCGACAATGGCGGGTCCCCGGCTGTTTATCTTGCAAAGCTCCCCTCCCCCGAACACCATCCATGCAAGCGCATGCAGAAGCTTCGACAGTTGGCACTTGCGAGTCGAATTATTACTCCAATTGCTTCTTGCTTTCATTTGTATTTTCGCCGACTGTTCGTTTGCTTCCGCTGCTTCAGCAATCTCGCTTGTGCTTTAACCGCGCTGAGGAAGGAGCTTCCGACGCGTGGATAGCACCGCGCCTCGATTTGACATCCAACGCCCCAATTGAACCCCAATATGTCGCCAACGCCTGCGGAAAGAGGTGCCCGATATGCGCCGGTGGGCAGGAGGACGTCCACGAGATTGGCCCAGCGCAGCCAGCCCTCGCAATACCGGAATCTCGATGACAGCTCTGATGATGAAGTGCTCAGTCCTATGAAGCTGAGCGCCATCACCAAAGCATTACTCGGCGGCGGTCACGTTTCCGATGCGTCATCGACCAACGCGCCTGCACCTACTGCGCGGCGCTCATCAATTCCAACTCCGTCCCGATCAAGCAACGGGGACCAGGGGTACCTGCGGAAGAGAACTCAGGAACCCGACAACGCACCTACCTCGAAACCACCAACATCGGCCAGCCGACCCCAGTCGCGGAATGCTTCGAGAAGGAGCTCTATCCCCGCGCTTGGTCAGACAGCATCCAGGGACCAGGGGTCTCCGGTGCAAGGCGCCCGTGCGACTCGCCAGTCACGGAGGGAGAGCAATCTTTCTCCTAAACAGGCATCTCCGGTCGGCAGTCGAGATAACAGCCCCGCCCCCAGGAAGCGGGTTGTCCGTCTCAATGCTCCCCCCTCGGCCAACGGTGCAAATGGAAGTCGCCGAAATAGTCTGCGGAACTCGTTTTCATCGTCCACCCGAGCGAAAAGACCAGATAGCGCAGAGGGCCACAGAACAAAGACCGCTTCTTCCCCTGTTGTACAACAAGACCGCTCAGCCAAGACGCCGGTGCTGCCGGTGAGGACGGTCAGGATTGCCGTCGGGTCATCGGGGCAGAAACCAGCGTCTGGGAGCTCGTCTGATACACGTCCCAAGTACTCCACGCAATACGCTGAAGTCGAGGGTCGAAACGCTGCTGGAGCCCCAGCTGCGCCCTCCGCCGCCGTGGCCCCGCAGGCTTCGTTGAGGGTGAAGCGAGTTGGAAAAACCCCTGGGAGCTTCCTATCTGGCCCTGCTCGGCGTGGTCGTCGAAGGCAAAGTGAAGAAGATGGGGATGGTCAGTTTGAGGCGGATGGGTTTGGCTTGGGCCAGGATATCGGAAGCCAACAAGCTGAATCGAGACAGCAGGAAGAGGCTCCAGTTCCCGCTGCCTCCGACTACGCTGATTTTGCCGCCTCGGGAAGTCCCGTCAGCGCCAGAGATTCCGCCCGAGACTCTGCTCGAGCCGCTCTTCGCAGGCATAAATCTACGTTTATCACACCCGTCAGCCAGAGAAAGTCAGAACATCAGCATATGCCGCTCGCCTACCGGATCACAACCTCGCCAGCTCAAGAGCCTATCACCATGACAAAGAAAACGAAGCTCCAGTTGAAGTTGTGCCTGTTGTCCCCAGCTCCCTTCGGGTATCCAATCCCCCTCCCTCGGCCTCAAGCCACAGGGGTTCGAACGCAGTCGCGCCCACCAACCCGGGAGCCGTTGAATCCCACCAAAAAGCCTTTGTCGCCCCAAACAACCACATCCTCACCGCGAGGTCACATAACGTCGCTCAGAGACCTGCGCCGCCCCCGCCGCCGAAGATGTCGGTTGTCGAAACAGCCACTGCTGCAGCCGGCGCCTCCACAGCTGTCCAGTCTAACAAGAAGAGACAATTCTTGCTTCGTGTCAACGGCAAGACTTACACGAGGATCGACTCCCTCGGTCGAGGCGGGTCCGGTAAGGTCTACCGCGTCTCGGCCGAAAACGGGAAGCTTCTTGCCCTGAAGCGGGTATCGCTCGAAAACCTGGACGACAGAACCATCAAAGGGTACCATGGCGAGATCGACCTATTACAACGGCTAACTGGAGTCAACCGCGTTGCTCAACTCATTGACCATGAATTCAACGCCGAAAAGAAAAATGCTCAGCCTGGTGAGTCAATTTTGAAATTTCTATTCCCCAATGCGTTCGCTAACCTCAGCCTAGGTGTTGGAGGCTGGTGAACTCGACTTCAACACCTTCCTTCCGGAGTCGGCTGTCGGAGGACTGTCGATTGGACCCGGTTTTCGTACGGTACTGGTGGAAGGAGATGGTCGAGTGTGTGCAGGCCGTCCACGAGAAGGATATCATTCATACCGACTTGAAGCCCGCCAACTTCGTCCTCGCCCAAGGCCGGCTAAAAGTCATCGACTTTGGCATCGCTAATGCCATCCAAACCGACATGACGGTCAATGTGCACCGTGACGCGCAGATCGGCACGCCAAACTACATGTCACCCGAGTCACTGATGGATTCCAAGGAGTACGCCCTCACCTCGGCCTACAAGGGCCAATTCAACGCCCCATCGTCTCAGAGGCCCAAACACTTCAAGCTCGGCAAAGCCAGCGACATATGGAGCCTGGGCTGTATCCTGTATCAGATGGTCTACGGGCAGTGCCCGTTTGCGAAAATCGTCAACATGATGGCCCGAGTGAACGCGATCAAGGACTGGGCTCATCCGATCGAGTTCCCCGAACACACGGAGCACGGCGTCCGCGTGCCACCGAGCCTCGTCCGCACCTTGAAAAGGTGTCTCAGCCGCGACCAGACACAGCGGCCGTCCTGTGAAGAGCTGCTTTCTCCGACGGATCCGTTCCTCTATCCCATGGAGCTATCGAACGACATCTTTGCTGCCGCCGATCACGGCAAGGTCATTCCCATCACGCCCGAGCTGCTGCGGGATGTGGTCTGGGATGTTGCGCAACGCGTCCGCCGCGGCGATGCGGTCGACAACGAAGTCTTACAGCTGTGGCCAACGGCGTATTGGGCTAGTTGCAAAAAGTCGTTGGCCATGCGCAATGGGTTAAGCGGCGTTACACCTGCTGCCGGAGACCAGCAATGACGACTGGAGAAGCACAAACACATGTGTGAATAGCTGTTGGAAGATGGGAGTTGTCGGTTTAGGGCGAGACGGAGAAGATGTCATGATTTGAAGACCCCACATTGTCGCATTCTTATACCCGGGGCTGGAAAACGACGTTGTTTTTGTTGCTGTCGAGAGATTTGGGATCCTGTAAGCTTGGAGTTTTTGGAGGAGTTTGGATTGCGAGACTGGGGTTCCGTTTTGGATACTGGGAGGGTTTGGTGATGATGGGACCACAGCCGGAAGGCATTGTTATTTTTTAATGATCCGGAGCTTAGACCTTGTGTTTTCCTAGAAAGAGAACTTATTTTTCCCCACCACTGTTATCATGCCTGCATTGGTTGTTGATGTTGCGCCCATTTTGGGATACAATTTACCCCTGACATTGCGTGGTAATGATTTGAAGGTGTTGTTGCAGTCCCTTCAACGTTACCGTTCTTCCTCCCCCAAACATACCTCGCCTTTGTCGAGCGTTGCAAAAGCCCTTACTTAATAGAGCAAAAAACAAAATCTTCCCTTCAGCACCATAACCTAGGGACTAGCCATGGAGGATAAAATGTCAGGGGGTTCATTAAGCTTTACGCGGCGCTCTGCAGTCACGATGAAACCATGCAGCCAAAATGCCGAAGGGTTGTGTGCAATGTCATCCAATATGATACATGTCTACAACAGCTCCTCCTCACTCATCTTACAACATCAGCAACAACCACGACGGGCCGTATTTTTCCCATAGCCCGCTCCCTCCAACCCAAGCACCCTCCCATTCTCTCTCCCTCTCCCGCTCAACTCAACTCAACTCTCCTCCGCCACCACCTCGGGCTTAATCTTCAGCTCACTAATCCGCAACGTCGTAAACCGATGCTTGCTCGTGACCGTCTTGGACCGCCGGCACCGCCGCTTCTTCTTGACCAGGGTGCGCATCGGCTCCGCCTCCGTCCCCGTCACCACCGCGCGGCACTCGAACAGCCGCTCGTCCACGTACGGCGCGCCCCGCAGCGTGAAGTCCCGGCTGCCTACCGCCGTCGCCCGGTTCAGCCGCAGCACCATCCCCGGCGAGACCCCCGGCATCTTGAACGGCAGCCGCACGCTGTCGCCGGCCGTGACCAGGTAGGGGCGCCCGTGGATGTGCACCGTGATGTAGTGGCCCGGTTGGGCGGCTAGGGCGGGGAGAAGGGCCCGGACCGAGTCGCTGAGGGGGGTGGGGGGTCGTGGGCGCGGGTTCGAGGGGTGGTGTGCGCCGCGGGCGGGAGGGGGGGTTGGTGCTGGTTTTGTTGTTGTGAGGATGGTGCGGTGGTGGGTGGTGCGGGGGCGCTGGTGACGAGCGTGGGATCGAGTTGTTGTGTGCTAGGCTCGACGTGCTGGGTGGTTTGGTTGAAGAAGCGTGCTGTTGCGGCGGCGGGCGCTGTGGTTGCTTTCGTTGTCGTTGTCGGGCGGACTGAGGGGAGGAGTCGCGTGGCGGGAGCACGCAGCTCCAGCACGGAGCGCAGCAATGCCCTGCTCATGGCTGGCTTGATTGGTTGTCTGTGTTCGATTGGATCGGTGGCGGGAGGGGTTTTGGCCGTCACGTTGCGGTGTCGGCTCCGCGATGGGCTGATCGTCGTGGTATTCGATGTGGAAAATTCGGTGGACTGACCACCTGAGGTTGGCTGTCGGGGCCGGCAAAATTAGGTGGGGCGGATGGCAGGGGCTCACCGAGGTGAGCGGTGGGGTTGAACTTTTTGGCTGTTTTCTTCCCTTGGGCGGGTCACCCCTTTTCCAGTAAACAACAGGGAGAGAAACTCAAGGCGCTCCTTCTCCAAAATCTAACAACCCAATGGGTCTGAGTGTCTAACTGAAGTACCCTAGGTATTTAGTACATCCCCAAATAACCTAAGGCATTTATTTCCAATTTTCGGTGATTGCCGGGCTTCGTTTCTCAGAACAACTCAAATTCACAGATGTTAATGTTGACTTATTTTAGTAGGATATGGCTTACCTGGACCGCATGCACATTCACAATATGACTTAGTTTGTACAAAACTATAAGGCACATGTGCGCCAGGTCACAAACAACTTTCGTGGCAATCCCTTAACTTCAAATTACTAGGGACCATAATTGCCAGCACGGTTGACTAGGCTCTTCTCTCTTTGTTCCAAGTCGCAATCTCACAATGCAAAGGACACTCCAAACTCATGTAACCAATCTTATTTTCATTTAGCTATCCAAAAACTTACTGTCGATATATATATATCTAAAAACGCACACGGGCGGCAACATAAAACAACAATCTCTCGCCCCACAAACAAACTGGAAACAAACCCCAACATTACAACCACTCACTCACCCCCTCACCAACTCAACCCCCCTCAAACCATCGACCCTCTCTCCACCCTAATCGCATCCGCCGACACCCACTCCATCGTCTCCGCGCTCCCCGCTCCCCCCTCCCCCCCCATCATCAGCTTCATGTTCTTCAGCCACCCCTTCGTCCGGGCCTGCACCACCGGCATCAGCTCTGCCCTGGCCCGGCTGGAGCTGCATGCCAGTGCTGGTAGTGGCGATGGCGATGGTAGTGGGCTGGGTTTTTTGACGAGGCATTTGGGGGCCGGTTTGTGGTGGTGGGGTTGTGGGTGCGGTTGATGTTGGGGGTTGGGGCTGGGGTTGGGTTTGGATCTTTGTTTGGAGCGGCCTTCCTGGTGATGGGCCGTGTTTGTTGTGGGGTGTGTTTGTTGTTTGTGTTTGTTGATCGGTGCCGTTGTGCGGAGGATTTGGCGGTGGGCTGAACGGTGGTTTGTTGCCAGTAGCCTTTTCCTTTTTTGGGGGGCCGTGGTTGGTGGTGCTGGGGTTGCTTTTGTCGGGGGTCGGGGTCCCAGGGCGAGGGGCGGTGGGACGAGGTTGGGGTGCCGTGGTTTCCAGGTGGTGTCTTTCGGTGGTACGGGCGGCGGTGGTTCGTAAGAGGATGCGGCCCGGGGCCGCTGGGCTGGCGGCTGTTGGGATCTTTGGCGTGACGTTGTTGTTGTTGATGTTGTTGATGATGATCGTCTGGTTCGTTTTGGGCTGACGACGGGGCTTGCGCAATACGACTCCGTGGTGCTGGCCGTGCGACTTACCATCCTGGGAGTCCCGCGCGGAACTGTCTTGGTAGGAGGGAGCTGCTGGGCTTGGGGCCTTACCTGGGACTGCTGTCGGGAAGCCTGAATGCGTGTCCGGGGGTCGTCGAGCGCCCCTGTTTGCCCGGGGCTGAGGTGGAGGCCGTTGCTGCGAGAAATCGAGTTGTCGGCCCTACTCATGGCTGGCTGGAAGGGCATTCTTAGCTTGGCTGTTGGAGACCAATTGTTAGCTTCAGGAGCAGGATTAGGACTGGGGAGGCTTGGGGGACAATAATCCGGGTGCATTCGCCGCTCGCCGAGACGCGGAGGGGCTGGTGCCACCCCTGGCTGTGCTGGAGACGGCCGCTTGGCCGCCCGCTGGCTGGGAACTCTTGTGTAGACGCCCATCTCGGCATGCGCCGTTCCCGTGGGTGTCGGGGTCTGTGGAACTGGTGTCGGCGACTGTAGCGGCTTACCTCTCTCTCTCCGTGCCCTCTCGACCCTCTGCTGTCGCGATTCCTCCTCTTGTTCTCTCGACTTACCTCTCTCCCTCTCCTGTCTGGCCCTCTCCACCCTCTCTGCCCTCTCCATCCTCTCCGCCCTCTCTATCCTCTCCACCCTCTGCAGCCGCAGCGCCTCCTCCTCCGCCTTCTTATTCTGCTCGTACTCACGTGCGCTCGCCAACGCCCTCTCCTCCAGATCCTTCTGCCGTTGCCACAACTCCTTTTTTCTCATTTCTTGCATGTTTAGTTGCCTCTTGGCGCATGTTACTGAGCAGACGGTCGGGATGTCTTGGTCGACGTTCATCAGGTCTCTACAGTCCATACTCCTTCTCCGAAAGAATTGGCAGCAGAACACAGGGGACGCTTCTGCCTGAATTTCGTAGTAACTTTGACATCGCCTCACCTTGCCTTTGTGGGCGTGCCCACATCGATAGTGACAGATATCTAGATGACACATCGTGTCGATTTTGCGCTGGTGACGGTTTTGTTAGCCGTGTGGCAGATTTTGCTTGTAATAGATCCATGCGACGTATGGGAGGAAGTAGGAACGGACAAAAGGGCCTCCCAATCTTATATACCTCCCTCCATTGTTCTTTGTTCAGGAAACACTATTCTAGAGTTGGCTATACAATGGCATCATTCCTTAACTACGCTGTCAACCTTCATTGCCTTTGTTCTTCACCCGAGCAAGTTCCTTGTTCAACTGCCAATCACGCCCAAGGTTCCCACGTCCTTGAGAATATGCCGTGAATTATGTGGGTTGGAGCATCTGTTCAAGAATGACGAAACGAAGATAGGCATTTGGATCACAGAAGTATCGGCCCTGGTTGAAGGTACCTTTCGCGGTAAGTTTCCATGGTTCTTAAGTTAGATTAGGTTCATAAAAAGTGGCAAAAGAATTTAGTGTCGAGTTCAATAGTAGCTCACAGCTTTAACTGTGGAAAATCCCACACCCTATATAGGCGCAGATGAAGTTTACGGAAGTGCAGAAGGTCGAGGTCGAGTGGCTGTGAGCATACTCCACATAATCACGATACGTTCACTGGAAATATGGGGAGATGGCCCGGGGCCTTGCGACTTGTGTCATGTTAGGTACAATGTTGTGTGATAGAATTACATGATAGAATACCGGGCCTTTAGTAAGACCCCAGACAGGCTTGAGGGAAGGTGCTGCCAAAAAGAACGCGTGGCTCTCGTGTTGAGGGAGAGCGAGATTATTCGGCGGGGTCCTTGGGAGACGGGTTCTGGGTCACGGCCCAAGCGAACAACTCTTTCCAGGATTCCTGCGGAATGGGTGGCCGTTCTTCCAAAGCTTCGTCCTGCGTAATAAGCCACCGATGGATGAGCCAGAACCTCTGGTGTGTCCTTCAAACGATTGCTCGTGCGAGTGACTATGTCGTCCTCTGGGGCATCTGCTAACGCCTTGAGATGCTGCTCAGGAAGACGCTCCAGTTTCTCCCCAAACGTCCTGCGCACCAAGTACTTCAGGGGCTCTAGCGCGGCGGTGGGAGACCAGTCGGGCGCTTGCGACTTCTCATCCGAATCCCACTTGGCCATGTCGAGGGCCGCTCTAATGATTACGCCGAAAAGGCCGGCGTCGTAGACGTTCTTGGCATTGTCACCGAGAAAAAGATACACGCCCATGCTGCCGGTCTGGAGCAGCACCTCTTTGTTGCATGGGGAATGGGGGATTAAGGAGTCGTCGTCTGCCGTCGAAGGTGCTCGGTCCGGCAAGCCGAGGAGTGTAGTGACTAGGTGAAGGAAGGCCAGATCTAGAGGGCTCAATGCGGCGATGAGGTTCTGGCGAGCCCTGTGAATAACTCGGTTGAGGCCGTCTTTGCCGAAGTCCGGGTAGGGCGGTGTCGGGTCAAGCGCAAACTCGTGTCGAACGGTTGCCTCGCAGTCCCTTATGCGGTCCATAAGCTGCAGAGTCTCCCCGAAGTGGCCGAGGAAACGGAGCAGCGACCCTGGAATGACATTCCGGAACAAGCGGTCCGTGATGATGGGGGCAAGAAGCCTTACAAGGATGGTCGCCCCCCCAAGTTCTAAGCTCGTCCTAAATATATCCGTGACCATGGGGGCAAGGAGCCTCTCGAATGTGGTCGCTTTTTCGGGGTTTAATATCTTGCAAAACATAGCCGTTCGACGCTCAACTTCACGCACAACCTCGAAGTTTGTCGGACCGAGAATAGTGCGGTTCACGTCTAGTGACGAACTGACGGGCCTATCGAGCGGCTGGAACTGTGGTACCAAAATCAGGCGGCTGATCCTAGCCTTGGCAATGGATTGCTCGTATGACTTGATGAGCTTCCTGTTCGACCGCGATGTGTTCATCAGAGCCCGGGATGTCGCGAAGTTGGAGTTCCTCCGTTATGAGGAGGACGGTCTCTGGGGTGAGAATGGACATTGTGGGTTTCGGGTAGGGGTGAGAGCTCCTTACTGTTGGTAAGAATCTGGACGAATGGGGTTTCTTGATGCTCTTGATAAGAAGAAAAGAATATTGGAATCTGGATAGAGGAGGTACATATACATCGGTATATATCTATTAACTCAACCTTTAGTTGCGATTCAGCCATGCTTGTTCTAACATCTACCACACAAAGGTCACCGCACATACCTAATG